GGAGACCCACTATGACTGTGAGAAGTGATCGTCACGTGATTATTCCCCTTGTGTATATGTATGTGCGAGTGTATGCGTACCTACGTGAGGAATTAGTGCGGCCTGAAGTGCCCGCGAAGTAAGGGCCTTGAGCCTAACACAAGAGGGGTTTTTCTTTGCTAAACGGTAAAAGTGCATGTTTCCCTTCCTTGTTGCAATTTATCTCGGTGGAACGATAAAGTTCCGGGCGGAAGGGTTAGCGTGCCGCTGGTGATGCGCTAGACAACTCACCACCGCTCCAAACCCCTTCCTGCCCTAGGGACCGTCTTGCCCCGCACCCGTTGGGACACCTCAGGGTGCAGAAGGTGGGAAGGCCCTCAGGTCGATTTTGCACCAGTTAAAGGGTTACCCCCCTTAGCTCATGCTTCAGCCAACGCCTGAGCGTCGAAGATGACCCCTTGGCTCAGAATAGGCCGTTTGGGTGTGGGCGCTACACAATGCGTCGTCATTGCAGTTACTCGCTTAGAGCTGCATAACGAGATAGTATGTATAAGTTCAGTGCCCTCGTGATCTTATACTAAGTTCGCGCACGCGACACTCGTCGCATCCCGCACTAAAAAAGTTATGGGTCAGGCGGCGAGGCCGCGAGCGCGACACGGTCAATAAAGGTGGGATTTTTTTTGTATCGTGAAGTGGCACGTGGGCGGAGGACTAGTCCCGGTCGGCCTATGGGATTCCGTGTACGGGCCTTATTATCCCGAACACCGGGTAGCCTATAGGTAGGATACTGGGCCTCCTTCGCGCGCGCGTCGCTTGGGCTTGTCCACCCCCTTCCATTTAGAGGGCCATGAGCTAATGAGAGTTGGAGTGAGTTTCCTTTTTTTTTGCGTTTTCATGGTTGGACGTTATAGTCCGTGGCGGCCGTCAAAGTCAAACCCCTTGATGTTCGACCACCACGACAAATTAAAGTTGTCTACTCAACCCCTCTGCAAAGGGTGCAGAAGAGGGTGTGGTCTTCAACCGCGCATGGCGGTTGTCCAGCGTCGAGAGATTAACCCTCAAGGCGCGTGTCAGTCGATACTTGAGTGTCGATTGCGACCCTCGAGATTAACGAGGACCGCGCGAGCATGGGTACTACATAGTACACCATCATTGCGACTGCTTGCATGCGTTTGCATTGCGAGTCGATATGGCTTAGCTCTGCCTCCGCGCGGTTTTTTTTATCAAGTCCCGCGCGCGACGCCTGTCCGATTTCCGCATCGGAAGGTTATGGGACAACTACTGAGGGGCTAGGGGCGTTGTCGCGTTGTTTGTGTCGTGTTGTTTTGTGTATGTATGTGTCTGTGTGTGTTCCCTTTGTGTCTGTAGAGTAATGTATGGGTGGTAAGTGGGATACGTCCTAGCCGACCGGCGACGAACCGCCCTTGGGACTTCAGCCCCCCAAGATGTCGGTTCGCGTGCGGGTCCGATAGGCGTGTTACCGCGAGTACCCCCTATGCTACAGCGAATGAGAAACATCCTCGGTTGGTCCACCTCTGCGATTGCAACCGAGTAGCTTTCGTACTATGGACTAGTAGCTCGGCGGGAATACGCCCACCGAAGGGAGGTGACAGCTCCCGTAAGGTGGAGGTAAGTTGTGCCTCGCGTAGGCCCTATCATGTCGTAGGGGCTCGCGAGAGGTATGGTTGGCGCACTCGGCCGGAGCGGCCTAAGGAAGCTCCATTTGTGTATTCGCGGCAAGGTTAGTCCAACTCCTGCGTGACGCGGTCGAGAGGGTCCCGCGCTGCCACGAGCAGTGTCGGACCGATTGCGCTCGACACCGCAGCTTCGGCTCTCGACATGGCAAGCCCCTCTCTCATGTTCGCCTTCTCCAGCTCACCCTGCAGACGCCGGAGCTCCTCCACCATAGCCGATACGCGAGTGAACAGCACCCCGCGCTTACGGGCCAGCTCATGCGCTTGCTCGATGAACCGCCTGTGGGTCAGCGCGAAATCTCCGCCTATGTCCACAACCTCGCCAACACCGCGCATCGGAAAAGACGATATTTTGCCAAGTGTCGTGAGCGCTCTCTTTCACGAATCCTGCAAGAAAGCCATCAGGAATCGCACACACATATGGACTTTGGTCAGATTGAACCGCCGCTGTCCTGCACCCGTACAGAGTGCTGACCGAAAGAAAAAAAAAATGGAAAAAAAAAAAAAAAATCAAAACCAGTGCACGTCTCGAACATGCAGCCGATCACTTCATGTGCTCCAAGCATGTGATCAACGACCATCTTCCTGGCAACTGCCACGTTCGCAATATGTCCCGCCCCCTGGAGGAACAGATGGCGGTTGTCCCACCATCGCATTTGAAAGCATAGCGAAGCATTGCAACAGTGTTTGGTTACCCTCGACCATGGTCTTGTTCATTTCGTCCATGGCCTGTGCAAAACTCCCCACGATCCTCTCCGCATGACGGTCGTTCGCGTCGACAAGAGCATGCGCAATGTCTGCGAACGAACCTCCCCTTGAAGCGTCACTCGAACTCTCTGCCGCGGAACGCCGTTTGTGGCCGCTTACACCCGCGGTCCGTCGAGACTTGTAACCCTCAGCGCTGTCAGTATCCGCTTTTTGTCGACCCCCTCCATTCTCACTAGTGCCGCCAGTGTCTTCATCATTTGTGACCGTGCTCGTCTGCCCTCTCTGCAGATTGACACTGTGCATCATGTCCTCGCACAAACCGTCCGCCTTCCCAAGCTTCCATTGCAGAGCTTCAAACATGTGTTTTTCGTATGTCAACGGAAAGCCATTCTCCTTTTTCTCCGAACGCGACATGTCCCAATAGCTCGGCTTCCCTGATTCGCCGTTGTAATCCCGAATCTTTTTTGCTTTGTCAAGGAGGGCGTAGAACTTTGCCTCACAGTCCTCCATGTCACGTTTTGGAAAGCCTTGCTCAACCATTTTCCCTATTATCCAGTCGTACTTCTCCCGTCTACTCCTGATCTTCTGCCTCCCTCTCCTGCTTTGCTGTGCGCAGTCCTCTTCGAAGAGAAGCCTCACAAGCGCCATGCTCTCCTTGTCTATCCACTCCGGCTTTCGCTCTTTCGCCTTCGCCTTTCTCTGTCCCCCGCGACTCCCCCCCCCCTCCCTGACGGCCCTTTTCCCACTTCCCGCTGGGGGAGTTGCATCGCTGCAGTGCGCACCGCCTTCGTCGTCTGCGACCTCGACAGTCGCAGGTCTTCCACTTCGTGTCCCAGCGATATCCATCGCACGTTCAGTGAAAGCGCCACCGAACGCCCCATCGATGACGGGCTCCTCTACACTCGAATCATGAGAATGGTTGGGCATGAGGACATCGGTGTTGTTGACGTTGGCATGCGGGCCAAGCATAGAAGCGGCACCACGGTTGACACCGGGGTCTGAAGAGTACAAGTTTTGTGGGCGAATGGGATTGGTGGTCGGTGGGGAGTGTGAAAAAGACGGCGAAGTCCGACCCTCCATCGGTGTGTACGTGTTTGGTGAACCCCCACCCACCCCTCCCGACATGGAGTGCGCACCCACCGGTGGAGGACCGCTTTGTGGCCGCTCCCCGTTCGCCCCCATCCTGAACCCGTCACGTGGAAACCCACAGTCACGTCCCACCCCCCAGTTTGGATACGCTGTTTGAACGTCTGCATCCAATCTCCCTGCTCCTCCATATCGTGGTGCTCCAAAAATGTCACCTTCGGCAAGGAGAGAGGTCATACTTCGTGGCTCTTTCCCGGGACTGTACACCGGAGCGTGCAAGTGCTTGAAATTCGGCAATGGTGGCAAGCCTATCGGCAGTGACGTGGCAACACGTGCCACACCCGCAGGTCCTGCACCTGCTGAGAAACCGTGGAAACCCGGACTGCCAATGCCCGCAGTGGATGGCGTTACTTCCACGAAGCCAGTGTCGATGGGAGCAGGCGAAGGAGATGGTGATCATCTATGCACAGGCAGTCTAGAGTGATCCATACCTTTTACGGACGCTGTCAGCAGACGTAGCTTGCTCGACGAGCCGCCGACGATGGCCTCCACTGTATAGAACTGCTGAAGAACGCCAAAGGCAAGGAAGAGAGCTCGCGGCTATGTTCACTCCGGAAACATGCCACGCAGAGGAATGCGACGGATCGATCCTAGAAATGGCGGAAAATGCAACTTTCGTGGTGTATCACATGAATGGCGACGTGGCGAACAGAGGTGGGAATAGCATTGGCAGTCAGGAAACATGCCACGTGGAGGAATGCGACGGATCGATCCGACAAATGGCGGAAAATGCAACTTGCTTGGAGTAGCAGATGAACGGCCACGTGGCGAAATGCGGACGACTGGATGTGGATGCAGAAAGACGCCACGTGGCAAAATGGCGGGAGATGGCGGGAGACTGCCGGCGATGTCGACAGCAAGCGCCACCGTATGCCCCACGGAATGCCACCGACTACGAAGACATGCAAAGCGCCCGACAGCGTGGAGCTATTACGGATAGGCGATGGTGGGAGATGGCAGGGGAGCTACCGTTGCTTTGGCTGCCAGCTCCGCGCGAAGAGGGAACACGCACTGCCAGGGCGTGGCTGCACACGGGATGGGCACTGCCGAACATCAGGTCCTCGCATGGCCGTAAGGTGTGCCATACCGGACCGACTAGCCCTCTTCGAATCAGCAGCTGGAATTTTCGGCGACCGGGCCCCGTCTGCCTGTGTGGTGGGACATCGGCAGGCCGCATGGCACTGCGGCCGCTTCAAACCGGTCGCACAACGTTGTGACCAGGCGGACGTTCCAAGTGCCTCTAACGGACATGTACAAAAAAAAAAAAAAAAAGGAAAACCCCGCCTTCTTTTTCGGGGAAAAGACGGGGTCGTCTCCCTTTGCGTTTTCAAAAGAACTTTCTGGCCTGCAAACGCGGCCGGCTTGACACGTCCACTTCCGTTTCCACATCCGCGAGAAAAGAGGGCCCTCTCCGCCTCACGCGGAAAGAGGTGGGATCCCAAAAAAGGCCGTTTCTCGCCAAAAAGAATAGAGGTGGGATCAGCCTCTTATTTGAATCTCCCTACTATGGAAGGTAAAGAAACAGAAGTTGAGAGAAGAGTATAGAAAGAAAAGAAAAAAAAATCTCCCTACTCCTCACTGTACAGAAGTGTAGTGGATAGTTGAGGAGCCGAGTAGGGCAGAGCTTAATTCAGCACAAAGCGGGGTTAATCCTTCCTCACTGAGGAAGCAGTCAAAAAAAAAAAAAAAACAGTATCGAAGCATTCTGCTGTTTACTTGGCCCAAGTAAAGAAATCTAGAAGGGACTGCCCTGCCTCGTTGGCAGGGCTTACAAAGAAAGAAAAGAAAAAAAAAAACATATTGACTTTCGGAAAAAAAAAGAAGAAAA